CCAATCCAAAATATTGACGGACATTTCTTAACGGCGGACATAATGTGACCAGTGACGAATTTACCGAGAAAAGGCGCGGACATTTCGTGGCGGCGAACATAATATGACAATTTTTTCGGAAGAAAGGCGGACATTTCATGACGGCGGACATAGTGTGACGATTTTTTCGGACAAAAGGCGGACATTTCGTGGCGGCGGACATAGTGTGACGATTTTTTTGGAAAAAAGGCGGACATTTCGTGACGGCGGACATAACGTGACGATTTTTCTGAAAAAGAGGCGGACATTTCGTGACGGCGGACATAATGTGACGGCGGACAAAACGTGACTCAACACCATGTACACTCTAAATGTAGCCTTCTATCGACAATATTGGCGTCCCAATAAGAGCAAAATGTTTTCAAAGGGGCGTAAAACAAACAATCAATCAACATTTTTTATCCCTGTTTAAATTACTTCATATAAAAATTCATGTAGCTTGTTCTTTTTCAATATATGAGTTCTACAGATAACTCCAGATGGATAAAATATGAAAACTTAAAAGATTTGTAAATTAACAAACGTAGTTCATGTAAAATATCAAAGGCGGATTCATTTGTTTTTTTTTTCTACCTGCACTTCACATCTACGTAAGTCACAGAAGAGCATTGAAGTTTGTGCTCAGCACATTGCTTGACCAGGGAGTGTCGAGTACCTATGCAAAGATCCATTGTCACGAGGTCTTGAGTTTTATTTTCTTGTGGGGAGGGTAAGGGGGGGGGGGCAATTATTATGTAAACACAATTCAACGATGACTAAAAGTTAAAAATAGAAAAGAAATTACACGTATGTACATCTGGGGCCTCAACAAGGAAATTATCTTTAAAATATGCAAACTTGAGCTAATGTACGGCTCATGTTGGATTTCAAGATAGGGTATTCTCAAAAAACATATTGTGTCAAGGAACCCAGGCTTTCAAATCGGGACAGAACTTCATTTCTATAAAAAATTTCGTCTAAGAGAATGCTAGACGATGGGGGCAAATAAAGAGGAAAACTTGATGGATTCACAGGTGCTCGAGGACAGGACCCCCCCCCCCCCCCCGATATAGACCCCCGGGCCTGTTCGACTTTTTTGTCATGTATTATATATGGATGACTCATTTATGATGTAATCTCTATATAATCAATTCGGAAAATTGACTTAAACAAACATTTTATAAAAATTACTACCCTACCCTATATATATAAATATAGAAGGGTTGATTTATATATAGAGAGTGGGGTAGATTTTATAAAATGTTTGTTTTAGGTAATTTTTCGAATTGTTGGTATAGATTATATCACAAATATGTCAATGAAAGATAATTTATGAGAGAAAAGTCGAAAAGGCCCAGGGGTCTATATCGGGGGGGGGGGGGTCCTGTCCTCAAGCACCTGTGGATGGATTAAGCGTTTTAGATAAATATTTAAAAATAGCATTAGAAAATTAAAGGGCAAAATGCCAACTATCTATCCTTCAGTTTTCAGTAGACCGGAAGTGATAAAAGAATTAGTAAGACTACATGAAAAATATGTTATGGTTCCAGCTGACAGAGCTTGTAACTATAAACCAGAGAAGTTTTTGTAAGGCTCATTATTACAACTAAAATCATTTTAGAGGAACTCAGTTTTAATTCCACATCTTGTAATCCAACCTATATTCACAGTTCCCTTTCAAAAGATGATATTAATCTTTAATATTTCCATTTCTATTTGTTTTCTCTGTGATAACTCTTTGAAAGTTAGGAGAGTTGATTTCTTGATCATTCTAACGGAATGCAAATTTCGCCAAGCGAAAGGTCAGAAGCTAAGAAAGCCTAATACGCATGTAATTCTCGTGCGGCTGTCTTTGAATCTGACTCTAAGGAGGCCTAATATGAATGTAATTCTCGTGCGGCTGTCTTTGTGTTTGACGTCAGTGGGCGGGGACTATTGAAATTGACATGTGAGGCCTCTTGTAATTTAAATCTAGATTGTAGTCTAAATTTTAAAAATCTTAATTTACAATTTTATTTCACAATGAAATGGAAATATAAGGAATCACTGTCTAGTTAGTGGAGTATGCCAGGGACATAAACGATAGTTGAAAAACGTGGGATAATTTATGCATAACGGGCTTCGCCCGTTATGCAAATTATCCCACTACACCTGAAATGTATTCCAGAAAGTAGAAAAACTGATGTAGAAAAGGTACATTTATATTAACGACACTTGCTACAATAAAAAAAAAATGATGCATAGATTAATATACATTTTTCGATTTATTTTGGTTATAAGTGGTGCAAATATCAAATTCTTAAAATATCAAGAAATTTTTTTTTTATGATGCTAAATTTTTTTCACTTTTTGTCACTCTCCTTATAAATCTATGCAGATTTTTTTTTTTTATCTATTTATGGAACACTATTGAGAAATCTTGAATAAAACTGAAACCTTATGTCGCTAAACTTATATAAACATTATATAGATGTAGTATCTATTTTGATGATTTCTATAAAAATAATGTTTATTTGTAGCAAGTGGTCTTGAACTTTGCAAGAATATTCTTGGTGATATATATAATTTTATACATCGTATAATTTAGCGGGTCAGTTTTCGATTTTGCAGAACGGTGTTGATAGCTACTAAATTTCTATTCTTACGAAACACTACTCCAGCACTCCTCCCTCCTCCTTCAATTTTGATCAGATTTCAATATTATAAATCTTGGTACACAAGTAAACTAAGTAAAGATATTTATTTCTATTGGTTTTTTTGTTTTTTGTTTTTTTTTTAATTTCAAGGAATGCTGTAAACTGCAATGATTTCGAAAATTTCTGTAGGGTTTGTGAGGAGGAGAGAAGAGGATCATAAGCCCTTGACTTGCGAAAATAGAAGACAAATAGAGTAAAAAATTATGTGGCAGTGCCAGCTCCCTTGGCTTACCTGACCTAATTTTACCGCTATTGTGGATTGCCTTACTCATATGACACATTCAACCACAGATGGTAAATGACTGAATATATTACGAATTTTGATAAGGGAAGTAATTCAAAAATGGTCAATTATTAAAATCAGATTTTTCTTGATTATATCCAAACTATCTAAAAAGCCAGCAACAGCAGTGATTTGTACATGTATACATATACTTCATTACAGACTGTAGCATGTAATTTCACTGACATTGTGAATTCCATCAAAATAAAATCCAATCATGTTATTGCAAAGCTAGCTATAATTGTAGTATGGAAATGAGGAATGAGTGAACATATATTGAAAAATCATAAATACATATATAATGAAAAACATATTGCTGGACTGGGAATCGAACCCGGGACCCCTGCATTACTAGTCAGGTGCTCTAACCACCGAGCCAGGCCGGTATCCACAGTCCAACCTTAATTTCTACACTATAATTATCAAGGTTGGGGTCAATTACTTGAAAATGTAATTAAATACTTTCAAATACATTGATAATTTTGTCCATTACTTGCAATTACAATTATATTGATTTTAAAATAATATAATTAATTACTCTCAATTACTTTGAAGAATGTAATTAAATACATATCAATTACTTAAGTTTTATTTCCAAAAAAAAATGAAGAACAAAAACATGAATAGTTTGAAGCAGCAATATTATTAAATTTGACCTTTCCTATTACCCTGGACAATGTGTTTATGCTGCATAAACGATTATTAAATAAATCTAGCTCATGCCAAACAGTACTGGTACATGTATGCATCATTATAAAACATTTTTTTTTAAATATTTAATTTGAAAAATAAAATATTTGAAATGTAATTAAAAAATACATGACATTTTTGAAATGTATTTAATTACATTTAATTACTTGTAATTGAAAGAAAACTCAATTACAAATACTTTCAATTACTTTGAAAAAAATGTATTTAAATACAGTAAATTACAATCACTCATTTCAATTACCCAATCCCAGATAATTAATGACTACATAACAAAAATTGTAAATTAAATCAAGTGTTACAGTTGTATTATAATTTTATTTGACAAAAATACACCCTTACAACAAATAACTGTTATAGGTACTGAATTATTTTGATTTATAAAAGGTTTTATAATGAAAATAAAAATAAGCAAAAAGAAAAAAAAAGAAAAAAAGAGAGAGAAAAAAAAAGAATAGGTCATCAGGCCTGTCGGGATCTAAAGTTACGCACCATTTACAACTGAAGGTGGCCACAGTTTTCAAAAATTTCTCAAGTTACAGAAAACGTGATAATACTTTTTATTTAACTCCATGATTGTTCAAATTTCCCTTGAAAGTCATCTTTCACAAAACAGGATTTTCATTGTTTTTTTTTTTACATTGGGGAGGGGGGGTGTATAAACTTCCTGAGACTGACATTTGTTACAGTTGATGTAGACCCCCCGGAAAAAATCCCTGGATCCGTCCCTGCTTATTCATGGGTGTAAGAGGTAGAGATACTAAGTTTTTTTTTCCACTTTAAACAATACGCTGAAAAAAAATCTTATTATCATTAGTACCCCCCCCCCCTTCCGTGAGTTTGACATCTGTAAACTTCTTTTATTGGTAGATTTATATCCCTTCTCTTTTTTCTGTTCAATCTAAATCTTTTACTCTGCCCCCCTAATATGCAACAACTTACTTATACTACTAGAGCCCGACCTTATTTGTCCATCAATGAATCGACTTCTATCCTACTTTCACTTTCTAACACTCGGCAGACAATAAAAATAAGAGCATACTCAAAACGCATGTCTTTGACTTATCAATTCCATTCACAAATAGAAAGCCGCAAATCAACAATAGTTTTCCCTCTCATAATAGACAGAACTAGACTATATATATATGACATCGTTTACTACATTACACAAGTTGTCGGAGTTGTCGTTCGACAAAACAATCATAATAAAACTACCCGAGAGGTTCCGAGGTTCTCTGCACTTACTAAGGGCGATAATTTTCCATTCTGACCAACAAATTCGACACTATCTGACTATGAGCGACCTTACACTGTACTATTTTCCAGGATCGTATTATTCCCAAAGGGTAGGAGAGAAAGCACAAAAACATTTTTAACTATTTGTCTCTGATCTGAATAAGTACTTTTATACCGTGCGGCATGGTTTCATGTTGCGCAATATGAAGGGCATGTGTACCTTATGTATCTACATCAGATTGATCATCAGTGCATTGCACTTTTCTGATGTCTCTACGATTAAAAGTATAAATTAGTTTACTTCATTGATCCTTGTTATCAATGGCATATCGAACGTTGACATATTCGAACTTTTCCATTTGTTATTTGTCAGGCCCGTAGGAGCAATTTCAGTTTGGGGGGGGGGGGGGGGGGGGCACAGCCATACATTTTCAGTTGAGGGGGCAGTAACAGCTACCAAAAATATTCCTTGACAAGCAAAAAAAAAAAAAAAAAAAAAAAGGTCATCAGGCATTTTTATTGAGGGGGCACAAGCATATACATGATATAGTATCTATTTTTTCTATAGTACTCTATATGTCGGCAAAATTATTGGGGGGGGGGGGCGCAGCCCCCCGTGCCCCTCCCCCGGTTCCTATGGCCATGTTTGTATTGTATAATTTTCATTTGCATTGTAAAATTTTCTATTTGCATAATTTTTCATTTGTATTCTATACTTTTTTTAATTTGTATTGTAATATTTATTATTAGAATATAAATGGAAAAATTATACAATAGAAATGTAAAATTATAGAATATAAATGGAAAATTATACAATACAAATGGAAAATTATACAATACAAATGGAAAATTGTACTGTTTGTTATATTAAGTGAAGAGTAGACTCTATGTTCTCCATAGAGAGAAACGGTCAACAATTGATATTGTGATACCTTTAAAAATTGATTCCTATATAAATTTATACTTAAAATTCTAACATTACCAATGTTTTACTGAGCAGTCATAGAAAAAATTCGATGTTTGACTGCAGATTGTGTTATTGGATTTCTTATGTCACACTGTGGGCCAGCCCACACCAAGGGTCAATTACTTTGAAATGTAATTAATTTGAATTACAATTACTTTGGAATTTTTACCATTACAATTACCATTACTCTCATTCAGAAAAGTAATTAATTAAATTACAATTACTTTGTTAAAGTAATGAATTACATTACACATGACATTTTATAAGAGAAAAACACAAATTTTATGACCTCACAATTTATATCCATAAATTGATTTTCTCGCACTTTGTGCTCAGTAAATATTCTTTCCCTCAGGTCTATAAGTCAGAGTGGTATTTGGATTTTGGATTCATTTATCATGTTCATGTATAGTTTACCAATCTACAGTTGACAAAGAAAGTGGATCAGAACACTTTCAATGTTGTAGTTTTGTTCAGTCTCTGATGTTAGTTCCTCTCTTTTTTTTAAATAAATGATAAACATTTCATACTTTATGATTTATGTAAAGTGTTATTTAATTATCAGATAATTCTATAATTGTAAAACCTGTATGTATTAACTTTTAAATTAATTGGCATTCGTAATTAGCTGAGCAGGCATAATCAATGAAGATATAAATTTAACACAATTAACCAGAGGTGATAACTACTGGTACTTAGATAAAGGGTTTGAAGTTAGATATTACTCTCAAGCTACCAAAAATGAATGATGGACAATATCAATACAATGTATTTACATTTGGCCTTAGTTTCCCTTTGTGCCTTCAAGTAGATCATACTAATCTTGTATCTTGCTTACCAAGTCCATTTTACCAGAATGAACTTAAGAAAATTAAGAAAAAATAAATTAAATTAAATTAAGAAAAAAAAAATTAAGTTGAAAAATATAGTTTGTATCTTAATTGGTACTCACAGTATAGTACATGTATTAATGTGACTTGATTTGTGACTATCTTTGAAACCTAATGATTTAATTCTTTTAATATTTTTTTCTGGCTCTCTTCAATTGATTTTATAACTGTCTTGTCAAGAAGTTTTCCATTAAAACAATTTTTTAATATGTCTATCAATCACCATTGAAAGCTATATGTAAAGTAATGAAACAAATAGAAAGATCTTTTTAATTTTAGTTACTCTGAACTTATAAAAAAAATATGCCACATATGACTTTGAATAAACATTTTAAAAATGATAAGATACAGGATTTTAATTTCAATTAAGACTTAAATATTATAAATAAAATAAAAAAAAAAAACTCTCAATGGCCTTTCTTTGTTTTAGATTCAGTAATAAAAAGATATTAAAATACAAAATGTAATTGAAATGTAATTGAAAAGTAATGGTCATTACTGACATATTTTTGAAAGGCAGGGATCAGCTAATTAAAATCTTATTTGCATTGACAGTAACAGAATTGACCGAGTTTTAGTGCAGGTGAAGGAAATTTACATCATGGAATGTTTTTTAAAAAAAAAATAAAAGGTATAATAAAACATTTATTGACTGTGTTCGCGGACAAAATGTGTTTTTCCACCCCTCATACCAACTGTTTGCCTTCGTCTAAACAGACTAGGGCATACAGTTTGTTCTTGGATCCGACAAAATGCATGTTGCTTTTGAACCCAGTCAATATATTTGTATTAGCTCCCTCAAAAAATATTGACTGTCATTTAATATTAACTATTGACTGGCAAAGAGAGTTTTTCCACCATATTATTGATTTTGATTTTGAATAGTAGATTGTGAGGTAATGATACTGTGTGACTTCTAAAAAACATAAAATGATAAGCTCAAAGCTGTTTTTTTGTTTAAGAAGACACAGATGTAACACTTCTTGGTTTGAATATTGATGGGGGATAATAACTAAAGCAGTTTTTAGCCAAGTAATGACTGCATTGATGATTCAGTGTATATAAAAAATAAAAGGAACTTAACATTTGGACTTATTGTCCCCAGCTTTCCCGAAATCAAGGGGATGTTAAATCTCATTTGTCTGTCAGTCTGTTACAAAAACTTTAACCTTGGTCATAACATTTGAATGAGAAAAGATAAAGCTTTCACATGTACATGACCTCTGATGAGACCCTTTGAAGTTTGACCTATAAAAAAAAAAAAAAAAAACATAATTAAGTGATAACTTTTGAAGGGGAGAAAATAGGGTGTTCATATTTGACTTGTACATTACCTTTGACAAGACCTTTCCAAATATACTATATATATGTGACAAGACATTTCCATATTTACTGTGATTTTTTGACCCTGAGACCTTGAAGCTTGACCAACAGTACTTTCAATTTTTTAATATTGGTCATAACTCTCTTATGAAAGAAGATAAGGCTTTCTTATTTTACTTGTACATTACCTGTGACAACATCTTTCAGAAAAAAAAAATAATTTTTGACTTTATGAATTGACCTATAAGTTTAACCTACCCTGAATTATAGTTTTAACTTTGACCAGTACTTTTGCTCTAGAAGAGACAGGGCTTTCACATCTTTTTTCACATGAGTGTTACTTGGGACAAGTCCTTTCAGATTGTTTTATGATACTGTATAAGTAGAATTTTTAGCAAGGATTTAATTTTGGCATTATTAGGGAGGGTTCTAAGATCATTGAATATTGGTAACAAATTATTCTGTATAGTTGTTATAGCTATTTCTCTTGACATTATAAATTCACTAAAATTACTTCTTGCTAAAAATATAAACCAAGTTTTGGGAATAAATTGCTAAATTTTCATCTTGTTAAAATTTCCAATTATAGGGTATTTGACTTATGACTTTGATATTGAAGACACCAAAAGCTGGGGACCATGCAAAATTCCTTGAATAAGACACAATAGTACGCCTCATTTTCTGGCTCATTAGTTATACATGCAATAGTGTAAAGCTTTTTAGCTCAGCTGAGCTGAAGGCTCAAGTGAGCTTTTCTGATCAAAATTTGTCCGTTGTCTGTCGTCGTTATTGTTGGCATCATTGTAAACTTTTCACATTTTCATCTCCTTCTCAAGAACCACTGGGCCAATTTCAACCAAACTTGCCACAAAGTATCCTTGGGTAAAGGGGATTCATTTTTTTTTCAAATGAAGGGCCATGCCTTCTTCCAAGGGGAGATAATTATGAATTCGTGAAAAATTAATGGCATCATTTAAAAATCTTCTTCTCAAGAACCACTGTGCTTGAAAATATGAAACTTATGTGAAATCATTGTGAGGTAGTGTAGATTCAAGTTTTTTCAAATCATGATCCCCGGGGGCAGGGTGGGGCCACATTGGGTGATCAAAATGGTACATAGGAATACATAGGAAAAAATCTTCTTCTCAAGAACAGCAAAGCCAAGATTGGTCATATCTATATGCAAGCATCCTCAGGTAGTGTAGATTCAATTTTGTTCAAATCATGACCCCCGGGGGTAGGGTGGGGCCACAATGGGCGATCAAAGTTTTACATAGGAACACATAGGAAAGAATCTTTAAAAATCTTCTTTTCAAGAACAGCAAAGCCATGATTGGTCATGTCTATAGGCAAGCACCCTCAGGTAGAATAGATTAAAGTTTGTTCAAATCATGACCCCCGGGGGTAGTGTGGGGCCACAATGGGTGATCAATGTTTTACATAGGAATACATTGGAAAATCTTGAAAAATCTTCTTCTCAAGAACAGCAAAGTCATGATTAGTCATATTTAAGTATTTAAATGGAAGCAGTCACAGGTAATATAGATTCAATTTTGTTCAAATAATGACCCCTTGGGGTAGGGTGGAGCCACAATGGCCATTTTGTGTCATATTGATTCAAAAGCATCCTTAGGAAGTGTAGATTCAAATTAGTTCAAATCATAACCCACCCACCCCTACCCTGAACCATTTTTATATTTAAACTTTTCAAGACTGAACTGATTTCTGCTTTTTTCTAGCCAAAGTGCTCAGGTGAGCGATGTGGCCCCTGGGTCTCATGTTTAATATTTTTTTTTAAAATGCACAGCTACATGTAACTAAAAACTGTGCCTCATAGGAGCATGTTATTTTTATCAAAATTCAGGTACTGTGGAATAATATTTCATTGTTGGGAGGGGGAGGGGGGCTGGTTCTGTGTACAAGGTGGGGCAAATAAAATTTCATGGGTTTTTGGGATGTAATTTTGGGGATAAGTTTTATATACAGAAAATTCATTGAACAGGCATTAAAAAATTGATTATTATTTATTGGGTGTAAATTTGTGGGTGTTGAGAGTGACCCAAAACATTCTTGAACTTTCAGGTCCTCCTTGAGCAATGATGATTCTACAGTTACTGTAATCTTTTAAATTTCTTTTACTTTATAGGCTTTGTTGGCACTGTATGAAAAAGATGCAAAGTTCAAGCATCAGGTGGTATTTATCCATGATGGAGACCAGATTACCCCAAGTTACATGAGAATGAATCCTGCTGGTCAAGTTCCTGTGTTAGCTGATGGGAAGAAAATCATTACAGAGTCAGATGCAATAATTAAATATGTAGATGAAAATGTCCACACAGGTAAAGAGAGCACTAGCTAGGTAGCTGCAATTATGTTACCCTGTCAGATTTTTTATGTGATTGTTTCTCAAGAAAAAAAATTACAGAGGGCAAGATTATTGAAGATAAGAGAACAAAAGATATTTTTATCATTTTTATTTACTAGTCGGTTCTCTCTATACATACATTCTATTGAGAAATTTATCAAAATATGTATGAATAAGAATGTCTTTGAATAATTATAGTTTTTCTGATTTATATTTTCTTCTTAGCTTGGTTATAAAAATTCACATATTCCCATTTGATTAGAATTTCTTTCTTAGTTTAAATATATATAGCCAAATTGCCAGATTTTTACACAGTTTATATATTAAGATCTGGCTTATTTCCTTTCTAAAGAAAATAATACTCCGAAATAACAATAAATTTATGAAAAAAGTTATGAAAATGAATTTTAAGAAATTTAAAATAAAATTAACTAGCATTCTGAGATTATTGCTGAAGCATTAATACATGTACTTGTCCCCTACTGGCAAGTGTGATCTGGATCCTCTTACAAATTAAGAAGGCCATAATTCTATCAAAAAGCATTGAAGCAGAACAGTATTAAACCTTTCTTCATCTTTTAACTCATCAAAATAGATCAACATACCAAAACTTAGCTCAATATCTGCAAGTAGTTAGGGGGGAAAAAAGCAGAAAACCAAGTGGGAAATCTAATTCCTTTAAAGGGGCATGGATACAGTTTTGAAGATTTTATTCCTCAACAGCTTCAGTAGATTTCCAAGAAAAGGTGAAGATATCAAACAGTGATCGATCTCAAAAAATCAGTAAACAATACAAATCTGTGAACAGGGCATAATCATGGACCCCCAGAAATACCAGAGGTGGGATCAGGTGCCTAGGAGGAGTAAGCATTCCCTGTTGACCTGTCACACTCGCCGTGAACCTTATGTATTCATCAGTAGAAACATAGGGTTCAAATTAGTTTTAAAACAGTAATTTGTTTATACTTGATGCTAGAGTGTGTCAGACCAATTATTTTATTAAACATTATTAGAAACGTCTTTTATTTGACAGTACTATTTTTTACATGTATGACATACATACAATTGTGCACTTTCACAAACTAAATTTATCATTAATGTGAAAAAAAAACAAAAAATGTGTGGTTTATCAATAAAAGATATTAAAACTATATTAAATCAAGAAAAGTCAGAATAGAAATGAAAGAATGAAAGCAAAACCAACAAACAAGTGATTCCTGCATGTGTATAGTAGTGTAGGCAGTGTTGCATATCGAATACATCCCATAAAACATAAACAAAAGTAGTAAGAGCTAGAGCTTGGACCCATGTTTACAAGAACAGGTGTTTGATGTCAAGTTATGAAGAATATCATTGTGGATACCACAAGAAAACCAAACCTTATTATCTTGAACTTGATGGGACGGAGAAAAAAACTTTGAGATATCTGAGGATACATCCGTCTGTCTATGCAATCTTGTCCGGGCTATATCTTTACAAATGAGAGACATTGAAAGCTCATATTTGCAGAACTGTTTACTATTATGGAATTTTATGTATTTATCACTGCTTTTTCTTTTGAAATATAACCCAGAGGCCTGACTGTTTTCTTTATCAGTTCAGTATGATTATCCCTATAACAGAAAAGATTATGCTTTGTTCTAGTGGAGGGGGATTTCCTTATTTCTATATTCTCGCATGGGCTATCTTTCCAAAAAAATATTTTAAAAATGCTTGCTGGCAAAAAAGTATCACTATCTGATTGTCACCAGGTACACAGGTGTGTGAAAGTCAGTCAATATCTCAGGTCTCAATAGCTCAGTGGTTAAAGCACTGGCACAGTACGCCAGAGGCCCTAAGTTTGAGTCCTGATTGAGACTTGATTTTTTTACCACCTGTGACATGAAGATTTGTATTTCAGTAAATATATTTCATAAGTGATGGTACATGTACATGTATATACATGTATAATCATGGGTTTTCTTAAAACCATCTATAGGAGTGTTATTTGTAAATGGTGACTCCTCAATCAATTTGCAATGATATAATAAATGTAGATAAATGATCAGTTGAAAGTGCAAATGACAGGGATACATTTATACATTACAGGGTCTACACTGGTCCCTGATGAGATATCATCAGTTGGAAAGGAGGTGGCTCGCTTACGGAAACTCATAAGTTCTGTAAGAGTGGAGATAATGACTTATGGGGTGCTTCGTTTTCAAGATCTATCCATAACTGGTCTCCATCCAATTGCAAAACCAATGGCAGATATCATGAAAAAAGGTAATTTTTTTTTTTTTTGGGGGGGGGATTCCAAACGATATTTATCTGCACTATCATTGGTTTATATAAATATATATATATATATATATATATATATATATATATATATATATATATATATATATATATATATATATATATATATATATATATATTAGTGATGGCAATCGAATACAGAATTGCCAATCGGTTAACCGTAAGGTGTTCCGACCGATTAATCGGTTAATCGTAGCAAAATACTCTTTTCTGGACATCGTTTTTAAAAATTACTTCTATTCATACCCCCCTCCCAATAAATTAAGGTCAGATGATACGTTCCTCGAATATCTGTTTTGTATACCTTCGAATTATGTGGAAAATATTAAAAATTTTAATTACTTTCTGATTTCTAAACTGATTTCTAATTGTCTTTTAAAAAATGAAACACCAAAAAATGTGTTATTGGCTAATTAAGTTTCTTCCAAACGGATTTTATAGGAAAACCATGCTCTGGTATCTTGCACAAATGCCTGGTAAGGTACCTCAATTTTTTGCGAGTTAACATGTTAAAGTAGCAATACTTCAATGACAAAATCTTAGAAAAAATTATATATTATTGAGGAACGTATCGTCTGTCCTTAATATATGAATAAAGAAAAGAAAAGAAAAAAGGCATAAGTAATTAATGTTCTGTTTATGCTTGATCTGTATATTTTACGTATTTTAATTCAATTTCGAAAGGAAAACCATAAAACATCCAAGAGATACTTTTATCAAGGACATTGATAACTTTCTGACGACCCCAAGCATTACATACGGTCATTCTGCATTGTCACCATAAACAGAAACAAAGTTTAAGGAGATTGGATCCTGCTATCAAAGTATATTTTTAGAATCTACACATATAGCTCAATTAAATCATGGGGATTTAATTGAATATAGATTATATTGCATTGTACAATCCAAATTTATTATAAGAACTAAAACATTACGCCGATTTTTTTGAAGAGGTCAAGACAAAAATCTGCTCAAAAGCTCAGAACAAACCTTTTTAAACTATTACTTGATTTACAATGTTTGCATAAAAATATAAATTGGCAGATAACTGCAAAATTAAGATACACAATGTAATCAGTTCACAATACTCAACGGTGATTTAATTATTATCATTAAAGGACAAGCTGGGTAACGGCGTGATATTTAAACAGCAATTAACACTTCATAAATTGACCAATTACCCCAACACCTCCATCCGAAGAGTTCTAATAAATTATATCTAAATACATGCATGTAAAAACGGTATAACTTATCAACATTCATTTTTTTTAACTTGCAAATTTAATTTTAAGGATATTTACACATGTTTTTATTTTTTTCCGACTAACCGATTGCAGATTTCCTAACCGATTACCATCGTTGCGACCGATTAATCGGTTAACCGGTTACAAACTGCCATCCCTAACATATATATATATATATATATATATATATATATATATATATATATATATATATATATATATATATATATATATATATATATATACTGTTTTTCATTTATAGGATGTACATGTGACATGTTGTCTTCTCTAACTCTAAATGAAGAAATTCTTTTTGATTTCAACATTTGTAAAAATTTATTAATTAAGTACAGTTGTAATTGATACATGTATTATTATTCCATGTATTCTTACCATTTGATTGATGACCATTAAATATTTAATATGCATGTACCAGGTTGTTTCGTCTTTGAATTCTTCATTTGCTAGTATATATAGTTTTCTTTGAATTGTGTTAAGATCACATTCCCATTTGAGCACTATGTTATTTAGCAGCTGAATTTACTATATTTACAGCTATAACTATACTTTTAGATCAAGGGAAAAGATTTGCAGAACTGAGGAAAACACTGGCTGTACTAGCTGAGAAGTACCCTGATTTACGAGATGCATACAATGCCAAGATTGAATTTGCCACAAACTTCCCAAAAGAATTCCAGAATAGAGAGCTGGTTGTTAAAGTCTTGAATGATGTGGAAAAAACATTGGATGAAATAGAAAATATTCTGAAAAGAGTGAAAGATGGTAATACATGTATTACACATATGGCCAGAGTGAAAAGCAAAATCAATAAAGTGTTTTTGTTTGTCCACCTGTCTGTCTGTATGAACAATCAGTTAATCTGATGTGTTTAGGTCTGCTGATTGAGATCTTTTATTCAAGTTACAGTAGTCTTTGAACTTCAGACACAAGGTATTCAGAGTGAAAATGATCTACATGCATGTATTATGATTCTCTTTTACAACTTCACAGGCAAATACTTGAAAAGTACTTTTTTCCACAGAGTCAATTACGCATAATCAGAATCTCTGTTTAATTTGAAAGTAGAAAATTATGGATTTCTCGCATTGTTATTGTATGTCTTCAATGCACTTTACATTATGCTGTGACAAATCTCTGCGAAAAATTTCTGACTGCTTACAAAACAACGATTAATCCTATGTGGAAAAAATTATATCTTTTAGTATGTCGAGATATGTTTCAAATTTCTCTGCTAGTGTTAACATGGCATTTATGAACACTATGACATGTAGGGTGACAAAATCTTGAAATTTGATGCAATTGGGGCATATGCATGTATCAACCCAAAAGTACATCACAGTGACCTGCATTTTAAATTTTTATAATTATTCATTGTCAGCTGCTTAAGTTTGAGTGATAAAAGACCTAGAATCATCATACCTTGTCAGTTGATATGTCTTGGAGTCTTAAGATATTTTCCCTAAAAGTAGGTCACAGTGACAACATTGTGCAATTTATAACAAGAGTGATTCAAGGCTCCTGAGCCTCTTGTTAATATGATTAAATCATGTTTAATTGTAAAAGAGCATATAAATTTAAAATATGAAAATAATACTAGTATCAGTAATGGAAATGCTAATTTTTATGCACAACGAAGACTTGATCAATAAATTCTGGTAGTTCAAAGGTAAAAGAAATTTCTATATCATGTTGTGAAAAATGCAAATACATTTGCTTTACAGAGCAGGGCATCAGTGACTGTTGGTTAGTTGGGCCTCGCTTCACTGCAGCAGATATAGCCTTGGCCACTTTGTTGGACAGGATTTCCTTTCTTGGGCTGACTGCTCGGTACTTCACCCCAGAGAAACGACCTCACCTTTACCAGTACTATCAGAGATTGGGGACCAGAAAGAGTGTCCAGCAAGTCAGATCTCTTGTCCTAGCTACCCCTCGCATGTTTATCCTCCGAAAACTGAAGAAAGCATCTCCTTTTGTAGCTGGAATTATTGCTGCTGGGATAGGGGTTGCTGTGGCATACAGTATACTGAAACGAAAATAAGAAGAAAGAGTAAGTGTTCATAAACATCAACATTATAAATATAGCAATAGCTTGAAGTGAAATCATTGGGCAATCAAAATTTAGAAAAGATAAAGATATGTATGTATGGACTGGAAATTACAATACCAAATGCTGCATACACAGTTATAATCTGTCCACAATGCAATTATATATATTCTGTATGTCTATATATAGTGAGGGTGTGTGTGTGTGTGTGTGTTAATTGTAGGGATGTCAACAAGTACCCCATTAACAGGGATCGAACGTCCGAGTGTACTGAATACTAAAATCGGTACTCGGATGTATATTGTTCGTATTTCAAAGTGCATATTTTTATTAAAACTTATCCCAAAATGTGATTTAAATATTCATTGTCCATGTCTATACAGTAATTAGCGTCACCTACGCCGGGTTAGTACCTGTTATCGCCTTATCGTGGGATAATTTATGCATAACGGGTGAAATTGTAAATATCAAGAAATCAACATCCTTAAAGTAAAGTTTACTTCCAGAGTTATCACAGAGGAAACATTTGGAAATGTAAATTATGTACGACTCCCAAAGATATTCTCTTTTGCTAGTGTGGTCATCACAAATTGCGTCCTTCTCTTCCGTTGATCAGATTGTCTTCCTAAACAAGAATTGTAAAGCATTGTAATTATTGGTGTTTTAACTGGTCATGTCTTTTGTGTTTGTTTGATACATAAACTGAGTAACATAGAATCAAGAATTTCGTTTGGCTCGATGTTTATGTACATGCATTATAAACGAAAGAAAACATCAATGGGATAAACAGGTCTTAATAAAATCAACAAACTTTTACCTATATACATACTTTTTCCGAGTACCCGGGGACTAGATCGGAATATCATCCGAGTAACCTATTATCAAATATTGACGGAACTGACATCCTTAGTTAATTGTAAAGATTTTTGGTTTATTTTTCATCGATTTTTCCAATTATTATTAAATCACTTAGGATGATTTTTTTTACTTTAGATGTCTGTGATTTATTATTGCAACATAAAATATAATCAGGAAATTGTATTCTTTTTTTTATATATTTATACTGTACATAATATGCAACAGGGCAGTAAATATATACAATGAACGTTACTGACGAGTACTTAACTGTATTTGTCTATGGGTATGTTGTTAATTAATATGTCTGTCAATTACTAGTATATACAGTATAACTTGAGGACCAAAGACAAACTGGAATGCTTTTTACTCTCCTTTTCGAATTAATGACTACTCCTGTCAATTTAAGTCCATAATATTCAAAGTTTTATCTAGCAAACACTTCTTCAGTTTTCCAGATAAAGTAACTAGCTAGTCATGTGTAATTATTTTGTGCTTGTACATGTATTTAGAATACATATTCTTAATTTTACACAAGAATACCAGCTGATCTTATTATTTACAATTTTCCTTGAAAGTACATGTAGGCACTTTTCTTAAGGATGGATTCTTCTCATATTTCTTATAATGGCAGAATCTTTATTTTCTGAATACTCAATATTCAGACTGTTTACACTCTTTTAACATCCAAAAACTTTGGTGTCATCGGCCTTGATTTTCAGTCAAGGTCATTTGAAAGTCAGTCCTAAAAATAGTACTTTTACACAGAGAAGTTTTGAAATTTATGCATATGAATAAATTTTGCTGACTGAATAAATATCTTTCACTATAAAATTAAAGTTGTTACTTATTTTTGATGACTAATTCATATGAAATGAGCTGGTGAAAAGATAACATGAAATCCTCTATATTCAATAAATATATTTAATCCGAATTTCCTCGATATTTTTTCAAAATTCTCAGTTTTTATGAATTCACATGAAATTTCATCTCAATTTTTACAATTGACCATATAATGTCAAATATATAGATTTTTGTCTGATGAATATTCAAAGGTTCAAGATTAATTTACAAGGTAAAAAAGATATAGTAATCAGGCAAATTATCGAAAAAAATTAGCCCGAATTTGTTCTATACTTTCTGAAATCTTCATTTTACAGAGTGTTTTAAATGTCTATAAAAAAGATTTTTAATCCCCATATTAATTTGGTGTAATTGTGACATAAATACATTCATTTCTCCCAGTTATACATTCTATTTTTATGGTATTTTACACTAATGCTATTCAAAATATTCATTTCGAATTTCCTCTGTCATTTTATTCTTATGGATGTTATGTTTGACAATTTTATAAAATACATCAATTTTCTATTGGCAATTACAGAAAAATTATCACATACATTCTTCACATGCACAGGACTAATTCAAAGCAACTTAACCTTTAATATAACCAGGAATAAATAATAAACCTTCCAAAAAGTTATGAGAAAAATCATACATAAAATTTCCATATACTAGAAAAGATTTCAATACATTATTTATGACATAAACATGAAATCAATATACATGTATAGTGAACATGCCATTCAAAGCTTAATATATGAATATCAGAGGGACTAATATATATGCCTATACATGTATATGTAGTTATATACATATAGGTCCCTGGTATTATGTTATTATTGGATATTTTACATTTGTAAACTGAGTTTTGAAAACAACAAGCAAATTCAAAGAATTGTGGTCCCCCGCTTTCGATGTCTTAGTGGATGGGATGCCAATGCCATTATTTATGGCATATTTTAAGTGTCTTGTTTGTTTGTCCTGTCTTATCTGTGCTTCATACAAAAAAACATAAATTATTGAATTAATAACAGTTATGGCAAAGACTATAGCTTCTCAAAACTACATCAAACTTCAAGATCAAGGTCATGAGGTCAATTATCATAAAATCCAAAAGATCTTCTCACAAGTGATGCACATGTAAAAAAAAATATCAGATACCAGAGTATACAATCAGAAAGGTCTTGAAACAGGTAATGCACATGTCAAATGTAAATACCATCTCTTCTCTCAATCAAATGCTATTAGCAATGATAAACTTTTTAAAAATTAGGTCAAACTTCAAGGTTAAGGTCATGGGATTAAAAATCATAGTACATTTGGAAATGCTTGTCACAGGTAATGCACTTGTCAAATATGAATGCTCTATCTTTGCTCCTTCAAAAGTTAGCAAACTGATGAAATGTTTGAAAATTAGGTCAAACTGGAAGGTCAAGGTCACGGGGTCAAATATCATAGCATATTCAGAAACAGTTTGACACATGTAATGCACTTGTCAAATATGAACGCCCTATCATATGTCATTCAAAAGTAATCACCAAATATAAAATTTTTGAAATTTAGGTCAAACATGAAGGTCAAAGTAAAGGGGTCAAAAATTATAGCATGCTTTGAAACACTTTGTCACTACTAATGCGCATATTAAATATGAAAGCCCTAACTATTCTAAATCAAAAGTTATAAGCAAAGATAAAAATTTTGAAAAGTAGGTCAAACTTCAAGGTAATGGTCATGGGGTCAAAAATCATAGTACACTTGGAAAGGTATTCCTACAGGTAATGTTCATATTTAATATGAAAGCCCTATCTTTTCTCATTTAAATTTAATGACCAATTTAAAGAAATGTCAATTTTCTGAAAAGTAGGTCAAACTTCAAGGTCAAGGTCACGGGGTCAAAAGTCATAGTATAAATTCGAAAGGTCTTGTCACAGGTAATAAACAGGCATAATATGAAAGTCCTATCTTTTCTCATTCAAAAGTTATGACCAATTTAAGGTAATGTTAATTTTTTTGAAAAGTAGATCAAACTTCAAGGCCAAGGCCACGGGGTCAAAATTCACAGTATATTTGGAAAGGTCTTGTTACAGGTAATGTACATGTGAAATACAAAAGCCCAATCTCTTCTCACTCAAAAGTTATGGCCAAGGTTAAAGTTTTTGTGACAGACAGCCCGACAGATGAATGAGATTTAATGTCCCCTCTCTTTCGCGAAAGCGAGGGACAATAAATACCTACACACATTTATAAGTATATAGTTTTTTCAGCACCAATAAATATAACTCCTCATTGTGATCACAAATTGCGTAAAATTTGCTGGAGTTTTAAGATAACAAAAAAGCCATCTATGACAATCAAATGCCCTTTGACATCTTTGCCTGAAAATGACATCCTTGAACTTTGTAACAATAATATGCATGCAGCTATCAAACTTAATTTCACATTTAGATGCAAAATACTTATTCAAGGATGAAATTTCTTTTTAAGAATTTGTAGCACAAACATTTATTGATCAGTGTCTATAACTTATATTGAAATGAATTAAAAATTACCTCTTGAGGGTTTCTACTGCAAGTACATGTATGTAGTTCATTTGTAAAAATCTAAATTTTAACCCGGCCACTACCAGCAATTTTGTTCAGCATGCTCTTGCTTAAAATCACCCTTTAACTAAATGATCTAAAGCAGGCACATTTTTATGTATTCCAGAACTGTATTTTAAGATTTTAACTGTATTTGAAAATGTAAAGCAACTGAATACATAGAGCTAGGTATATATCATTTACAAGTTGTTGTAATGCCAGTACATGTAAATCTTCACATTGTAATCTAATGAAAGATAATGCTTGAAAAATTCACTCTTGGAGTAAGATTTCAAATCTGAATCAAAGATTTTGTAAAGTAATCACATTCTACAAAGTGTGCACTGTATCGGGTACTTGGGAATCAAATAATTTTACATTATATAATTATAAATAAAAATATTTTTGACTGAAAGTTTCTGAAAAAAATCAAGAATGGAATCATGCAACAAGCAGCAGTAACTATGATAACATGCATTGACTTCCACATTTCTACACACAAAAACATTTCTTTGATCAGATAAATATGTAACTCCTGCTTCTAATCTGTGATATATTCTGAGAAAATCTCTTTTCCACAGACAGCCATCATTCATTTGATTTGAGAATTTCTTGCTGAACATGTGTCCACCTGATGAAAGTCCAAATTTTTTGTTGACCTATAATTTAAAAAAAAAAGTAATATATTTTACATAGCAACACAGATGCTGCATTACATGATAGTTAGATAAAGTTGTGTCCATATTTCTTATACATGTACCTCAATAGTCCATCTGCCAGCACTCCTTGCTCAATCATCCTGCATTCTGACCTCCAGTCTTTTTTCTAGTCTAGGGTAAAGTAGGGTTGATTTTCTCCTAAGAATTAAACATGAACATCCCTTAGACTATTTTTTTAAATTAATTGAAATTGATTATAAGTTTAAACAACTTATCTCATCTGTATTTCATTTATTGATTTAAATGAATGAAGATATTTTAATAGATTCTACCATATGCATAATGTCTTATAATGTATTGGATATAAATAAATAGACATTTTTTATCCTAAAAGTACAGAAAAGTAAAAAAAACAATAATATAAATAGTTTTTTAACAATAATGTTTCATTTTGCTCTATTTATTCGATAATTGTGTGTTTCAATGTTATTGATATTTCCACATACAATATCAAGTTTTTTTTCCGTTTGATTTGTACCCAAGCGGTACACCTTACTTTTCTAATAACTTGATGATTGTTGTGTCTTGAACAAAGTAGGCTAGTTAAAAATATAAAATTTGTTGTAGTCATATACAAAAAATGCTATTTTTGTGAATTATTATTCATAAACCTGACGAACACACGAAATATATCCTCTTCAAATGTTGACAAGTCGCGGGAATAAGCAGACGAAATATTGATAACAGGACTATAATTTCCGTGCGAATTCCCATAAATCAATACAAATCAGCATGTAATTGAATTCAATTTCAAAATTATGAAAATCTTCAGACATATATAACTAACTTACATGCTCACTGCACACGACATGACTTCAGACGAGGCAACGTGGATCTGCAATCTTGCACATGTTTGTGACCTTCAAGTTCAAGCTTCCCTTTTGGCTGATCGGAATTTCCCGGGCATAAATAACTATGATTTAATTTGTCATAACTGTCCCTGGGCTTCTGCAATGCTTCGATAATGTTTTTACAAAACAACCCTCTCGGGGTTTTCTACGGGAAATGATCTGGACATGTTGACATTCGCTACCGAACTGCGAATATTATGGAGATTGTCGCAAATCAAAGAAAATATTACGAAAAATTTATTAATTTCAAAAGAAATAGATTCCACATTACTTAAACTGACAAATTAACTAATAGTTTTTCCTTCAGTATAATTAAATATGAATTTTGCATTTTACGACTTGCATAATTTATGGAGACCCATTGACGACGTAAAATGCTGACAAGAATCCATCCTTAATAGATTATCAAAATTATTTTGTTCAGTCTCTTTGCTTATGCATAATTGTTATTCTAATTATATAAAATATATATTACATTTTCAACAGTGAAATACTGTGATTTATTTATTGAATAAAAGTGATATTCTCTCACAGTGTGAAAGGATACCAAAATGATATTCTCTAGCAGTGTGAAAAGATATCAAAGTAAATAAAAAATAA